GGGGAATAGATGGATGCCCAAACACAAATAGATGATCTCCTCAAGCTCTTGTGAAATTAATTTTACAAACTCAAACTTCCAAATGCTTAAAAGCTCTCTTGTGAAATTAATTTTACAAACTCAAACTTCCAAATGCTTAAAAGCTTCTTAAACAAACTTAAACCGAACTTAAACCCTTGTTTAAAATTCTTTAAACTTTTTTTAAAAACACTCTCTTATTATGGAAGAGCTGAAGGCAATGGGGTATTTATACCCACTCAAAACATCAGCCAAAATAACATTAAAAAGACCAAAATATCTCCAGAGAATCAAATCAAAATATAGCCATTGGAAAGCAATCATTAATTCGGCGGTCGACCGTGAGAAACTGGGGGTCGATCGCGAAGCACAAAATCCAAAAGAACAGTTTTGAAAAGCTGGCGGTCGACCGCAATGGTCGACCGCAAAAATCTCTTTTCGAGCTGACGGTCGACCGTGAAAGTTGCTATTGGCTCCGCAGGTTAAAAACAAAGGCGCAGTCGTCCGTAAACTGACATATAAGAAAACATGTTTGAAAGTTGATTTTCTGATTTTAAAACCCTGTTTAAAAATATCAAATAAATTCAAAAAAATATAAAACTTTAGAAAATGATTGTAGACATGATAATACACATGCTACAAAAACTAGTTTTTAGAAAGGACCTCTTAAATAAAAAATATTATTATTTTGCAAAATAGTCCAAAACATGAAAATGTAAACACATGAGTTTTGACATTTAGCTTAACCATATTTTGAAACAATACAAAATAATTTTATAGACATGAAGAAAGATGTAAACTATTGTTATGAAGTCTATAAATAATGAATATAGTATTTTAATAAATACAATAGCATATGAAATATATGAGTATGAATATGAATATATATATATATGTTTCATATCTATGAAATTAAACCAAACCAACTTATCCACATAAAAACAAACATGTATGAATATAAATATTTATTTATATGCTTGTAAAAACTTTGTTTGTGGATAAACCAAAATCCAAAATGTGTACATATATATACAACTATATATATACATAGAAACCAATAAAATATGTGTGTATATGATATTGAGCTTAAAGTACTTAACACACATAATATAAACTCCTAAACTAAATTACCCAAGTTTGTGATCTTCAACGAAGCTCTATCTTGGTACACTTGCGGATGAAGCTTGAACTTGGATCTTTAACTTGAATTGCGTAGCTTCACTCTATAATTCCGCCAACCTCCATTTGATATGATCGTGAATGCATAATTCCATCCATCCTCCAACATATTGTTTGTCTATAATAAATAAGAAAACACGAATACTAGACAAACAACATTAGTGGTAAATTGTTTGTTAAATATCATCAAAACAAAGAGGCCAACAATCTCCCCCTTTTTGATAATGATAAACAATTTACAAAAAAGATATATGCATGAAGGAAAATAAATATACAATATTATAATTATCATGCATAACAAGGAAAGAATATACTAAGGCGAAAACCATATAGATGAAAGAGAGCAAAAGCTCCCCCTACCTATAAGCATGGGTGAGTATAACACATAGAAAGATATAGGGATTGCTCCCCCTATCAAAACGCCTCATGAATATATGAAATGAATGCTAAGACATACATATGTGAGAAAGCATAGATTAAAAACATGCTAAACATAACTCACATACAAAAAAGATAATGAGAACACATATAAATATGTTAATATGAAAGAAGTGTCTCATTACACAATTATAAAAACATAGTGTATATAAATAGATTTATGAAATCAAAAGATAGAACATGAGAATCATGCAAAAAGTTTTCAAATGAAAACAAATTAATTAATGAAATCATAAATCAAGATTTAAGTCCAAAAACAATGCTTGATCAAAAAAGAAAATTTTCTTTGAATAACTTAATCAAACCACTCATAGAATACATTATAAGACATGAATAGATGATCCATGAGCACACATATAAATATCATCATATAAGTGAAATATAATGAGTTCAAAGCAACAATTCAAAATAAAATCTTTGACAACAGAATTTCAAGAGAGGCAACAATATATCAAGCTCTTAAGCTTGTTCCAATCCATATAATCATTCTAGCATCCGGTAAACATGATTTAGGAATAAACACCCAATAAACCCGGAGGGTTATATAAACACAAACCTCTCATCAAAATCAAAACTAATAATCATGAAAACAAAAGAATTTGATCAATGAAAAAAATTATTTTCATGTTCAAAAGTTTAAAGTATAATTTTTCAAAACAAAAAAAAAACACTAAAATTCTTGGTTTAAGAAAAATTATTTTGGCACCTAAGCATTCTTGGTGCCGGATTGGTTAGGGATATGACCCCTATCATTTAAGCTCAAAGCCCTAGCGTTATGAACCTGTTTGGGCATATATGGTGCACTAGGACGGTCAAAACAAAAATTATACACATGAACTTTCCGATTACAATAGGTGCAATCAAGAGGTTTAAATGATTTGTGTTGACCAAGTGAGCGTGCACGGGAATCATTTGCAAATAAAGATTTTTTTTTAAATTATATCGCAAATGAGAAACATCTTTAAACAAAGGTGGTTTACTTGAGAAATTTGGCAAGTTTGAATATTTTTTTAAATCATAACAAAACTTCGCTAAATAGCCAAATCTACCACAAACATCATATTTTAAAACATGTGGTCTACTAGAAATATTTGGCAAACTTGAATTCTTTTTCAAATCAAAGCAAAACTTTGCCAAATGGCCAAAACGACCATAATAATTACATTGATACACACTAGCATGCTTATGATGAACATTATGTGCATGTGCATGAGTGTGTGATGAAGAAGCTTGATGAGATGCACAAAGAATATTTGATTTTGTAGGTTTATGTGCATCATAGCAAAATTTAGTGTGACGCCCCAGGGTTCACACAAGGCTGCAGTCCAAGGTGAAACCCGGATTGTCAAACCTGTCAAGCACCAAACACCATACTACGACATGTTTTACCATCACAATCACTATCTCTCTAGTGGAAATAATAAATAGGTGAAGGTACAAACATGCAAATAATAAAAGTAGTACAAAATCAGATATGCACAGAAGAAGTATATCAACAAATGAGCCCAACTGAAATAAAATTAAGAAATCTCTGAGTCAGAAATACATCTCAACACAATGAGTCAAATGAAATCTCACTAATGCACTCAGCCTCTACAAAAATGAATACAACTCTAAAATCTGATCAATGAACATAACTATATAGTGGAGCTTTAACTGCTAAAACCGTGCGATGGCGACTATGCTAGAACTCCGTCATCCTGCGGTTCTCCGAAACTCTGATCTGCCTGAAAGATACAATTTAAACAAAAAGAACAACAACAAGAGCGTCAGAGCGGTACAGTAAGATCACCTCCATCCGCCCCCAGGGAAAGGGCTGCTAGATAAAGTGGAGGCTCTATCTATTAAACATAGTCTACCTATATCATGTTCCCCGTATCTAATGGAGTTAATATTTAGACACCTATAAGACAAGACGTAGTACATCGAGCGAAATAATCCAAACAAGGAAACCCTCATATATACTATACGTCTCAAATTATAAATCCCAAAATACCAATTCCAACTCTATGAATGGAAACAGCACTCAAAAGAAATACGCCAAGCCTCAACTATATATGTAAGGACCATGAATTTTGATACTAGTTAAAATAATTTTCTAGTATTTTAAAATATTTAATTATGATTTTTAAAAGAGTATTTATATTTTTCTCGAATTTTTAAAATTTTCTATGATTTAAAGTCTAAGTTTTATATTTATTTAAATGATTTAAATATTTATCAATTTATTTAGTGCAGTAAAAGTTTCTGGAATTTATCCATTGTGTTACCGATTCTATTACGTATTATTTTAATACTACGATGTATTATTATTATTATTTCGTATTATTTTGTATAATATGCAGTATTATTAATTATGTATTATTGGTATAAATTGTTATATTATTTTAATTATTGCGTATCAGCTATCGTATTAGCACAACTGGTACGTTTTATTGTATGAGAAATTATCCCATAATTATTTTATTTTAAATGTAGGAAATTATACTTTTTATTAATTAATCTCGTTTAATTATACAAATTATGGTATTATTTTTACTGTTGCGTATTATATGTTATATTAGTACAACTAGTACGTTTTGATGTGTAGATAATTTTCACGTAATTATTTAATATTTTTCGTGATTATAATTATTTTTAATTAATTTTCAAAACCCTAAATACTCTTTATATATATATAAAAATATATGTTTTTCTCTCTCTTCTCACTCCTTCACCCCCACGAAGCCGAAACCACCTCCTCTCTGTTTCCAACATATGACAATATGGCATACAAAATATACAAATGTAGAGATCCCTGGACAGATGCCTATGTTTTATGAAACAATAGTAGAGGCATGGTATTACTTTTGATAATAGCAAGTTAGTCACCAGATACTGAAACAAAAATAAACCAAAGCTCAAGTATGCTAAGATCTTCTTACTTTGCTGTCAAGGGTGTTCAGATTATTTTAAGAAGAAAAAAATACAGCATTGCATGGTGCCCCAGACTTAAGATTATTCAGAGTATGATGCCCAGGACTTAAGATTATTCAGCGAAGGAGGAAGGGAGGGACAGAGATTTTTCAGTTTTTCTTGTGTTTTTATGTACAAAGGATACAACACATTAACACTAGTAGAAAATCGAGTATTCTAGACGGAACATTCTAGACGGAATTTTTTCCGTCTAGAATGTATTAAACTAGACAGAAATTTTCCGTCTAGAATATTCCGTCTAGAATAAAGTATTCTAGACGGAATTTTCCATCTAGAATAGTATTCTAGACGGTATTTTTATTTTTTATTTTTTTAATAAATAATCAATTATTCTAGACGGAAATTTCCGTCTAGGATACTCATCCTAGACGGAAATTTCCGTCTGGCACTGACCTCCTCGTCGTTGCCGCCTCCCTCAACCCCGCCACCTCCAACAAACTCCGGATCGGATCCATCACCGGATCTCCCTCAGGTCCTTGATTCTCTCATTTCAATTCAATCAGGGAGAAAAAGAAACCCTAGAAATTTGATGTTTGGATGTAAATGTGATGTTTTGTTTTTTGGGTGTAGGATGGAGGAGGAGCGTTGCGGATGCAGCTTGATTAGAACGCAGCTGCAGTTTAGTTCTGATTTTTTTTGTTAGTTTTTGTGTTTTTTTGGGATTTTTATTGAGGTTTTTGTGTTTGGGTTTGTTTTTTGAAGGAGAAGTGGAAATCTCCTCCTCTACCAGAGGACCGCTTCGCCCTCATGTGCGGGTCCTCACGCCGGAGAGCTCGTCAGCAGGGAGAGCGGCGCGTTCCTCCACAGGTTCATGTGGCTCGACGATGGCGACATTGGCGAGGTCCCCTTCGTCTGGAACTTCCTCGTCGGCCACAACAGGGATAAAATCAGCAAGAGAATTTGCGTGGAATTACAGTAAAAACATCTAATTTAGCTCGGCAAGTGCCTTAATTTGGGTATTTGTTTGTTGTTTTTTCATTGTCACAGGAAAGTGTACTTGGTTGGAAGACGGGGCCCTGCTCAGGCAGCTTGCACAGCGAAGGAAATTCATGAAATTCTTGGTATAGCTTGTTTGGTATAGTTCATTTGATTACCTAAATGAAAACTTTGCTGGTTTTTGGCCGTTTTAAATGTTTAGATCAATATCAAAAATTGTTGCATTCAAATTATTTATGCTGTAAAGTTGAGATCTAAGCAAATCAGCCATCCATTTATGACTTATGCCAGATTAATGACTGAAGTTTTTAAAGTTCTCACATTAACCTTAATAGTTCGTGCACATTTCAACTAATGCAACATCATAAATATGAAAGCTATCATGTCGGTGAAATTTGATTTATATTTGTGCTTCATAGCTGAGTGCCAAATCGGGTATATGTCATGCATCATTTCCATATATATACAATTTATTATGGGAGAAATTAACTCATGTCCAATAGTGAAGCTTACAGCCGTTTTATCACAGTATGAACAAATTTACTTCGTGGAGCAAGGCATGACTAAGAAGACATGCTAAAAGCTCATATATGAACATGCATATATATAAATCATAAATGTACAGGCTCAAGTTCAATAGCCTCAACGTTTTAATCAGAATGAAGCAACTTTATTCAACGATGCCAAACATGAACGTTACTAGTTTTATGCATTGAGGTGACAACTTTCATCTTTTAGTTAGTCTATATTATTGAACGGTGATTTCTATTAGGAATACTCTAGATCGATATATTATTGAACGGTGATTTCTATTAGGAATACTCTAGATTGACTGTCTATCTTAATTAGCTCAATCATTTCTTTGCCATTTAAATTAAAGGTTGTGGTCAAATTTTTGTTTGGATTTACTTGAAAGTTACGTCTTAATTTTTAGAGTCCTAGCAAACGTATTACCAGCTTAAAAGTCTATTTCTTGAGACAGCTATTCATTATAAAACTGGGTGGTGTTTAGTAGTGTATTTTGTATTCAAGATCTTCAGGTAAACACATTTACATCAATTTTGCATACTAGGATGCTGCATCTCTCGCAATTGCAATCATGAAGAAAAACTTTAGAGGTCAAACGTTTTTAGGGTGTGATGACCATCCTTTATCGCGGTCTGTTCTCCCTCTCTTTGCAATATACTGTCAATTATGTCTTTTGGTTACTTATGGAAAATATTTCCCCCTTGATATAGGCAAGAAATAATGAAGTGTGTGAAACGAAGCGGAAAGTTCAGCAAGGAGTTGAAGAAGCTTCTGCAGTGTCATAGCCATTGTAAATAATTTATGTAAAAGTTTGTAAACAATTTATGTATCTCTTTACTATTTTGGTGAATGTATTATTTGAATATAATGGGATTTGATATTGTAATATAATTAGATTGTGTTGGATATGAATATAATTTTTTGTTGTTCAATATTGTGTACATGCACCCAAAGTAGACTCCGCAAAAAAAAAACTATTGTAGCACAGTATCCTAGACGGAAATTCCGTCTAGGATACTAAAATTCCGTCTAGGATGCCTTTTTTAAATAAAAATAAATAAAAAAACCAATTTCCGTCTAGAATGTCTAGAATAGACGGAAATTCCGTCTAGAATACTCATTCTAGACGGAAAATTTTTCCGTCTAGAATACAGTATTCTAGACGGAAATTCCGTCTAGAATAATCCGTCTAGATATATAAAAGAGAATGGTTAGGCTTCTCTTCATAAAAAATATGATTAGAATAACTAAAGAAGTTGAAAATTATGATTTCAAAAATAAAAAGAAAGAAAAAGAAGAAGAAAATCTAGGGGAAGCAAAAATTGAAGGATAAAAATAGAAAATATGGGTACTTAAAAAGAAAACTCTGCTTGCCAGGGATTGAACCCAGGACCTCCAGCTTCACTGAAGACAACATCTATTTAATACTCTGCCACTGGGACAAGGGGTTCTTTGCTTGTTTATCTGAGTTATATAATATATAAAGGATAGTTTCAAATCTGAGGTGGTTCAAGTGAACCATGACGAGATCCCCGCGTCATCGAACCAGTCGCCGATGTCGCCGTCCAGCTCCACAAGTCAACCGTCGATCCACTACGCGCGTCGTCGAACAACGAACAGCAAGAAATGGCGCCGCCGTCTCGTCCGCAGGTCCCTCAGTCTCGTAGGCAAGATCCCACTTCTCTTTGATTCGTTATTTTTATCTGATATTTATAGATTGGACTGATATGTTATTATCTGCGTGGGTTGTTGAGAATATTGCGGTGGTTATATTCTGTGAAGTGATGCTATTTATGATGAGTAGATATGTTGAAAAGTAGTTTATGATTAATTACGAAATATTTTAGAAAGAAAGAATAATTTGTAAAAGGGAGTATTCTGAATTATTATTATGAGAAATATTTTAAAAGGATTTACGTTAGAAGAAGTAATAAGTAAATAGAATATTTAAAGATTATTTTATAATTATTGTAATGAGAAAAGAATTTACTTGATGAAAAAGGGATTATTTAGAATAATAATTTAAGAGAGTTTATTTTATAGAAAAGATTATTTTAGAATAATTATTATGAATTAAAAGAATTTATTTCGGTAGCGGAATCATCTCTGGATAATTATAATAATTTTAAAAGAAATTATTTTGGAAAAGAAAATATTTCTAAATTATCTAGACTATGTTTATGGTTTATAATTCTTAATCTTGATTAGATGATATGCTACGATATTATTGTACATGATTAGTTGCATTGATTGTTTCTGGTTGTGTTTGAGAACCATTAGTAGTTCATGACTTAGTAGCCTCGTGCGTCATGAACAGACTTAGTGACATGTGTGGGTGTGTTGACTGAGTTTAGGTGGTGAACCCGAGTTTCAATGAGGATTATGGTTGATTTAGAAAATACAAGAGAGTTGGGATGGGGAAGTCCATGTTCGTGTGATCGGATAAGGCTGTTGATGTATCTTCCAGACTAGAACCAGTGAACCATTTCACACTGGGGTTAGTTTGTTGGGCCAAGTGAACCGTTTCGCACTTGGTCAGTGAAATCGTTTCGTCACCCGAGTTTTGCTTCAGTTCGAACCAGGCCGAAATCGGATTGCGTGTAGTCCTCTCACCGAACCGTTTCACGGGTTTGGATGCACGTAGGGGATTTGTGAACAGCCAGTTATCCGGTGATATGAGCGTTGACTCTGTGTGAGATGTGGACCAGTGACCTATTATAGAATGACTAGTTACATGACCTTGTTACTCAAGGTGATTAGGATTCTTGTGTGAGATGTAGGTCAGTTGTGTTCTTTTCATACATAGATTGTGGTTAATATTTAATTATCAATAATTTGAGGCATATGGTATATACATGAGGGTTTCCTCGTTTGGATTATTTCGCTCGACGTACTACGTCTCTTGTTGTAGATTTTTAAGTATTAATTATATCTATTGTATGCCCTGTTACTTGGATGATTAGACTGATCGCTAGCTACATGATCTCGTTACCTGATTGATTTTGGATGCTTTATGTTATTATAATTTAGTAGTGTTTTCATGTTGATTTGGGGTTTTCAGTTGTACGTTCTTTTGTTGTTTCTTTTATCATATCGATTTTCGTTTTGGTTTTCGTTTGTTCTATTTTCTTTGTGGGGTCGGGTCTTGCCGTGTGCTATACACGCTTACGTACACCTATTTTCTCTGGTGTATGTCAGACTTAGAGGAAGAACAGGTTCAGCTGGAAGATCATCAAGAGCCAGAGGATTCTCAGCAGGAGCGCCTAGCGGATGGAGCAGAAGAAGAAGCCGAAGCTTAGTCATTCCTTTCAGTTTGTTTTGTAGCACCTTCATTTCCCTTTGCTCAGTGTATTTTATATTCTCTAGTATTTCATTCAGATAGTTTGTATAAGGGCATGTTTGACCCGTATCATTATGTCTCGGATGTTATCCCATTTGTGATATGATATTTTTATTCTGAGTTTGTCTATTATATTCTTGCTGATTGTGATCGGGGACCTGTGACTTCACATTGTACTTATTTTCATACGCTTAGCGTATTAGGTTGAGGAGAAACATTTATTTTTATTTATTCTTCTTGATCTAATACGTCGCGGGCTTGTTCACGTTCCGGTTCCCGTGTATTTTGGGAAGCGGGGCGTGACAATATAAAACCAATGTTACAATCTCGAACTACTTCTCAAGTAGTTGGCGCAATTATAAGAGAATATCGTTCAACTCAAAAATCATCATAGGTCATATCATGTATGCCACAAATCAAAGAATGTACCCTACTCATGGGAAATCTAACATGGGAATAACTATAACTGATAATACATATATGTGTGCATCTCTTTATGCAATAGCGATACTCTTTTAATATTCTTACTCAATCGCTCTGCGGCAATTGGTTTTATCTCCCTATCCCGGATACATGGAAATAATGATACTTTTGTAATTTCATACTCAATCGCCCTGCGGAAATAGGTTTTATTATCTCCCTATTCCGGATACATGTAGTAATGATACTATTATAATACTCTTACTCAATCGTTCTGTGGCAAATAGGTTTCATCTCCCTATTTCCGGATACGTATAGAACATCATTATTCATATGTGTTTATCAATTTAACTCGTGTCGAAAGTGTGTCAATCTAACACAATCTAGCATACATGCATCAATCTCGGTGTGCGTGTCCACATCTGAAGTTCACCATCATCTCAGGTTTTTAACAATTACTAATATCATAGTCTATCATCATAAGGTCGAGAAATTCGTTCGACAACCAAAAACAAACTCCAATACACATGCACAGCCGAAACAGACTGGCGGTCGACCATGATGGTCGACCGCGACGGGCTCCAGAGACTACCCAGCTCTCTGTCATTCACGCGGTCGACCGTGACAGTCGACCGTGGATCATGTTTCTAG